TGAATTTAAATTAAAAAAAATTTTAAAAAAAACCCACAAGTGCCCTCTTTAATACCTATCACCCATCTAGCCCATCCCCCCTTCCATCAACCCTCAGTTTGTTCTTTATCATTAAAAGTCTCTTTTGGCTTGGAGCACCTGGGTGGCTCAGTCAGTTAGATGTCTGTCTTTGGCTCAGGTCATGATCCTGGAGTCCCAGGACTGAGTCCCACATCAGGCTCCCCACTCTGTGGAGAATTTGCTTCTCCCTCTGACCCTCCCCTCTCTCATGCTTTCTCTCTTTCACTCACTCTCTCTCTCTCAAATAAATAAATAAAATCTTTTTTTTTAAGTCTTTTATGACTTCCCTCTCTCCTTTTCTTTCTCCCTTCCTATATGTTCATATCTTGTCTTTCTTTAATTTCACATATGAGTGAGATCATGTGGTATTTATCTTTCTATGACTTATTTCATTTAGTGTAATACACTGCAACTCCATCCACATAGTTGCAAATGGCAAGATTTCATTTTTTGATGGCTGAGTAATGTTCCAGTGTGTGTGTGTGTGTGTGTGTGTGTGTGTGTGTGTGTATGTGTCTTCTTTATTCATCGTGCAGTGGACATTTAGGCTCTCTCCATAGTTTGGCTATTGTTAATAATGCTATTATAAACATCAGGGTGCATGTACCCCTTTAAATCTGTATTTTTGTAGCCTTTGGGTAAATACCCAGTTGTGCAATTGCTGGATCATAGAGTAGCTCTGCTTTTAACTCTTTGAGGAACCTCCACACAGGTGGTATCTCATTGTGGCTTTGGTTTGTATTTCCCTGACAATGAGTGATGTTGAGCATCTTCTCATGTGTCGGTTAGCCATCTGGATGTCTTCTTTGGAAAAGTATCTATTCATGTCTTCTGCACATTTCTTAACTGGGTTATTTGTGGGTTTTTTTTGGGGGGGGTTGAGTTTGGTAAGTTCTTTATAGATTCTAGACGTTAACCCTTTATCAGATATATCATTTGCAAATGTCTTCTCCCATTCAGTAGGCTGCATTTTAGTTTGGTTGATTGTTGCCTTCCCTGTGCAGAAGCATTTTATCTTGAAGTCCCAATAGTTCATGTTTGCTTTTGTTTCCCTTGCTTCCAGTGACATGTCTAGTAATACATTGCTACAGACAATGTCAGAGAGGTTGCTGCCTGTGTTCTCCTCTAGGGTTTTGATAGTTTCCTGTCTCACATTTAGGTCTTTCATCCATTTTGAATTTATTTTTGTGTATGATGTAAGAAAGTCCTCCAGTTTCATTTTTCTGCATGTGGCTGTCCAATATTCCCGACACCATTTGTTGAAGAGCCTATCTTTTTTCCACTGGATATTCTTTCCTGCTTTGTCAAAGATTAGTTGACCATATAGTTGTGAGTCCATTTCTGGGTTCCCTAGTCTATTCCATTGAGCTTTGTGTCTGTTTTTGTTCCAGTACCATCCTATCTTGATGACTACAGCTTTATAATACAGCTCAAAATTTGGAATAGTGATGCCTACAGTATTGTTTTGCTTTTTCAGAATTTCTTTAGTTATTCAGGGTCTTTTCTGGTTCCATACACATTTTAAGATTGTTTTTTCTAGTTCTGTGAAAAATGCTCATGGTATTTTGATGGGGATTGCATTAAATGTGTAGATTGCTTTGGGTAATATAGACATTTTAACAATATTCTTCCAATCCATGAGCATGAAATGCTTTTCCATTTCTTTGTGTCCTCTTCAATTTCTTTCATAAGTGGTTCTGTAGTGTTCAGAGTATAGACCTTGTCCTTCTGTAGTTAGGTTTATTTCTAGGTATCTTAATGTCTTTGGTGCAATTGCAAATGGGATCGATTCCTTTGGTGTGTATAAATGCAACAGATTCCTTCACATTGATTTTATATTCTGCAACTTTGCTGAATTCATGTGTTAGTTCTAGTAATTTTTTTGGTGGAGTCTTTCAGATTTTCTATGCAGTGTTTCTTGTCATCTGCAAAGAGTAAAAGTTAGACTTCTTCCTTGACAATTTTGATGCCAAGATATTTTTCAAACTGCTGCTTCTATGCCATATCTCTGAGGGGCTGTTTGTCATGCAGTCTCTTTAAGGATAGAATTCATTTTTCTATTGTTCTCCCAGAATCCATCCTACTGATTTTCACAGTTTGAGGTACTAAGCCCAATTGTAAGAACTCATGAAGCCATACCCCTCTGATTTTCAAAGCCAAAAGTATGGGGATTTGTCTTTCCCAACAGGTTCCTCGTGCCTGGGGTGCTTGGTGTGAGGGTCTGTTTCATTCATCTCTGTGTTCCTCACTGCTGTGGACAAACCTATCAGTCCATTTAGGTCTCAACCATGTCTCTGCCCTTTCTATTCTCTTTGATGTGGTTTCTTCTCTACTTTTAGCTGTGAAGAGTTGGTTCTGCTAGTCTGTGTATTTTCTGGTTTATTTACACTGATATGGTGTTACCTAATTTTATCCATGGGATCAGGTCAGCATAAGGTCCTCCTACTCCACCATCTCCCCTTGAAGGCTATACCACATCTTCTTTATCCATTCATCTGTTGATGGATACTGGGTTGCTTCCATATCATGGCTATTGTATATAATGCTGCAATAAACATAAGGGTCTAATTTATCTTTTTAAATTAGTATTTGTGTTTTCTTTGGGTAAGTAAGCAGTAGTAGAATTACTGGATCATATGGTAATTCTATTTTTGATTTTTTTGAGGAACGTCCATACTGTTTCTCATAGTGATTGCACAAATTTGCATTCCCACCAACAGTGCTTGAGGGTTCCTTTTTCTCCAGATCCTCACCAACCCTTATTATATTTTGCTTTTGAGTTTATCGATTCTCACAGGTGAAAGGCGAGATCTCATTGTGGCTTTGACTTGCATTTCTCTGATGATGAGTGATGTTGAGCATCTGTCTATGTGTCTGTTGGCCATCTGTATGTCTTCTTCGGAGAAATATCTGTTCATATCTTTTGCCCATTTGTAATCAGATTATCATTATTTTTGGTGTTGTGTATGTTCTTTATATACTGTGGATCTTAATCACTTACTATATCACTTGCAGAATATCTTTTCCTATTCACTAGGAAAACTTTATTGATGGTTTTCCTTTTTAAGTTTTTATATTGATTTTCTTTTTTTGCATTTGATTTCCTTTTTCAAATTGTATTCCACATTTCTGGGGGTAAGGAGAGGAATTTCTTACTGTATTGTCCTAGTCCTGAGTGCTTCATTTTTTTTTAAAAGGTACTTGGAGGAGTTTTCTTTTTAAAACATGACTATGCATGAAATGTATTGATTGTCTAGAGGCCATTCTCTAGACCTGTATTATATCCAAGCCTCTGAAACCACAGCACTTTCTATTGTCTGCAGGCACTCATGAAGATTCATAAACAACTGTAGAAAAGTACAGTTTGAAACATTGCTTAAATAGGATGTATCTTTCTACAGAGGATTTTGACACTAAACAAGGGATGCGTTAGTGTTCTTGCAAGAGGAGAGTCAGCTGTGGCAAAAATAAGTTTCCTCAATATAAGACAAATAAGTGCCTTTATGCTTTTACTGGTATTGAGAGTGTGAGTCCCTGTGTAAGCCTGCTTGGGCTGCCATAATCAAATGCAGACTGGGTGGCTTAAATGCATAAATTTATTTTCTCACAGTTCTGGAAGGTGGAAGTCCAAAATCAAAGTGTTGGCAAGTTGGGTTTTCCCTGAGGCCTCTCCTTGGCTTACAGATGGCCATCCTCCTGTTGTGTCCTCACATGGTCTTCTGTGCATGTGCATCCCTGGTGTGTTTGTGTGTGTCCAAATCTTCTCTTTTTAAAGGAATACAAATCGGAATGAATTAGGCCTTATCCAACAGTCTCATTTTACCTTAATCACCTCTTTTAGAGGACATATCTCCAAAGATAATCACATTCTGAAATACTGAGGTTTAGGGATTCAACATATAAATGGAGAGGTACATATTCAGCTATAACAGTCTCTGTTAACTTTATATACTGGCATCCCTATAGAATTCTGAACTGCAAGCTGAACAGAAGCCAGGACCTAAGAATAGACATGAGAAGCTGATCTCAACTTGTGCGGCCCAGGGACATGGGGTTAGCAGAGGAGAGGGGCTAACTCTGGGTGTTACATTCTCCCACTTTGCAAACACGGTTTTAGCATAGGGCTCTGCTGTTATAAAGGAATATTGAAGCAACTGAATCCTCACAACAGCAGTTGATTTTCTCAGCCTACCCTTGACTATACTCCAACTCCTAGAGAAAGATAACCATGCTATTCTAGAAGAGCTAAGCATCTACAGGCCATTAGAGCAGTATTGTGGTCCTTGAGACTTCAGCCTGAGTGCTCTTTCTTACCTTGTTCAGACATGTTTCACCATTGAAAGTAGTTTAAATATTATGGCTATTGGAAGAGCATTCTTCCTTCATCCTTAGCCACTCTAGGAAATCCAGGTGTTTGCTCTATGCTATACATTAGAGCATCTTAGACAAGGCTAGGTCTGCCCCACTGGAACCTCACAAGATTCTGGTAATTTCCATGATTCTTGTGGGAAGTTGTCTTGGGAATATTAACCTGGTATGATGCTTTCATTAACTTTCATTAACCTAACCCTTCAACCTCTATGTTTTAAAAAATATATTTACTTATTTATTTGAGAGAGACAGAGAACATGCAAGTGGGGGGAGAGGGTAGGAGAGAGAATCTCAAGCAGACTCCTCCCTGAGTGTAGAGCTCAATCTCAGAACCCTGAGATCATGACATAAGCCAAAATCAAGAACTGTCCATCTAACTGACTGAGCCACCCAGGTGCCCAACCTCAATGTTTCTAAAATGATAACCCTTTAGACTCATTTTGTTAATTACCCAGAATTGTCTTGAATCTTAATTTTTTTCTGTTTCCTAAACTACTAGGTACACAGCAGGTAACCTTTCTTAATTTGGGTGCATGATTTTTTTCCCCTGAATGTTATTCTAAAATTAGGAGGAACAAGCAATGCGCTATTGACTCCCTGCAGTCTAGTCTGGATTCTGAAACTAGAAGCAGAATTGAGGTGACCCGGCTGAAGAAGAATGTGGAAGGGGACCTCAGTGAGATGGAACTCCAGCTTAGCTGTGCCAACCGGCAGGTGTCAGAGGCAACCAAATCCCTGGGCCAGCTTCAGACCCAGGTCAAGGTATTTCAAATTGTAATATGGGGGTATGGAGTAAACAGACTAAGAGATTGTGTTGAGCAATAAAAGTAAGGGCAACAAATCTAATTCTTCAAGAGAGTAGGAACACGCTTAAAGTTAAATTGGTGGAGCTTTGCTCGGTGCATACATGCAGGTGCATATCCTATTGAACTCAGAGCGATCTGTGCCCCAGGCCTGTGTTTTCTCTCGCAGGACCTTCAGGTGCAGCTAGATGACAGCACACACCTGAACAGTGAGCTGAAGGAGCAGGTGGCTATGGCTGAGAGGCACAACTCTCTTCTCCAGTCCGAGCTAGAGGAACTGAGGTCCTTGTACAAGCAGACAGAGTGTGGGCGCAGGCTGGCAGAGGAAGAACTCCTGCAGGCCACAGAGAGAATCAATCTTTTCCATACCCAGGTGAGGCCCATAAGCTCTCCCCATTAGCTGCACCAGCTGTGTGAAGGCAACAGTTTCCACCCACTGTTCAGCCTTAGACCATACATAGTTGTCATGTGAAGCCTTGGGTATGGCATGAGACACAGGGAGCGCCTTTGGCAGCAGAGCAGTGGGCACACTCTTCATTCATGCCCAGATGTATTAGTTTCCTAGAGCTATTATAACTCAGGACCACAAACTGAGTGGCTTAAAACAGCAGACACTGATTCTCTCACAGTATGGAAGACCACACGATCGAAACTACGGTGTCGGCTGAGCCATGCTCCTTCTGGATCTCGTAGGTCAATCAATCCTTCCTTGCCTTTTTCTAGCTTCTGGTGGTCTGTTGGCAATCTTTGGTGTTCCTGAGCTTATAGATGCCTCATTTCAATCCTCAGCCTTCACATGGCATTCTCTCTCCTTGTCTTAACACCATCTTTCTTCTGTTGGTAGTTGTGTCTAAATTTCCCTTTTTTATAAGGACATCAGTCATATTGGATTCAGACACTTCCTAATGACCTCATTTTAATTTGATTACCTCTGTAAAGGTCCTATTTCCAAAGAAGGTCACATTCAGAGATACAGGGTTAGGACTTCAGCATATCTGTTTTGAAGGGGACACAATTTAGCCCATAACACTAGTCCAAAAGAATGAACTCCCAGAGCATTGATAGCCAGGATACTGGGGAGACATGAACGTTCCCTGGTGTACCAGAACCACTTGCCTGCTTCTCCTATTTCCTCCAAGTCACATGCTCTCCAAGCATCCCAGGATTAAAGAAAAAAAAAATGTTCCTGCCTCAGAGCCAGGAGATTTCTAGCAATTCTAAGGGGCTGCTGACAGATTTGATGAGCTGTCAGGAGTCTGGTTTCCCATGGAAGGTTATATAAGTGACACGAAGCAAGAATTCTTAGATTGCTTGCCATTCTCATGGAATCAGGAGGAACCATTGTGGCTAGGACAAATGTGTACAGTGAATCATTCAACATTTATAGGGCACCCACCATAACCTGAGCAGATATACATGCAGAATAACTCCACTGTCCTTAAAAAGTGAAGCCCCAGGTAGGAACTGCAGTTCACTGCTGAAGTGTAGAGTCAGGGCAAGCACATCCCTGCCGACAGCCTTTCCGGGTCTAAGACCTCACTAGATGCACAATATGCTTAACTGGAGTTGTGAAGCCAAGGACGGAAGCATGGGGGAGGAGGAGCTTTGGGCTATTGAGGGAAATTGCTATACTCACTAGAACATGGTGGGGCGGGGTTAGGAGAGATCAGAGAAATGATGCCAGGAGGCAGGGGGAGCCAGGTTCCCAGGAACTTTGAGTGTGAGACTGATGCAGCTTGAATTCCGTCCTGCAGCTAATGGGGATCCACTGAAGAATTTTGAGTAGCTAAGAGTGAAATGATCAGATTTTCGTTTCAGGAAGTATACTCTGGCGATTGCTTTGAAGAGTGGATTAAAACAACTATAGGCAGAACTGCCGTACTCTGAAGCATTTAGAAATGTCTGTGGGATCAGTTTGGTTGCCACAGTGACTGGAAAGTGCCAGTGACATTTAGTTGGCAGCACTCAGAGATACTAATATTGTCCTAGGTGCAGGATAACCCCACTTCACAATGAAGTGCCCCTTCCAGAATGCCAATTTCGTCCCCATTGAGAAATACTGGGAAAAAGGAAGGACAAGGCAGAGATGTACCAGTTGCAAGGCATTGCAATCAGTTTGTGCCTACAGTCTGACTTTTGGGTCCATCAAAACATTGTGCATGACCCAACTCTATTTAGATATCATAAGATATGGGACAAATAGGCTGTATGTTATGCATAATTCCCAGAAGGGTCACTTCAATATTTTCTTTCTCTCTTAAGAGAGTTTATCTAAAATATAATGAGCAGGATTCTTATAAAGTAGGATATTGAATTTTTAAAAAGTAGTCATCTATCTGTAGTACTTAATCTAGCTATTGGTAATAAATCATTTGCCATGCCTATTATAACTGATAATGCACCAGTGGGTCCCAATATGATGAAAAACCACTAGCCCAGAGAGAGCTGAGGACATCAAGCAGAGCAAAAGCAGACAGAGAGAGGAGGAGATGAATTGGAAAAACAAAAAGAAAATTAGGCCATGGAAACCTGATCTCTAGGGCAGAGTTTCTGACACTTTCAGTGTATCACAGAAGCTAACAGAAAAAATGCAAATTCTCAGGTCTCATTTCAGATCTACTTAATCAAAATCTCTGCAGTGGGATGCAGGAACCAAATGATTTCTCAAATGAATTCTCCCTTTGACCAGCATATCCAGGTGATACTACACTGCTCACAAGGACCTCTCCCCAACATTAATCACATGGGGGCACCTTGCAATTAATAGCATGCTGTCAATCTTTTGATAACAAAGTGTATCTTTTATGGAACCTTCTTCACCCCTTCTGCACCCCCAGACCTCTAAGCCTAGAATAAATATACAAGGCCAAACTTATTCTCAGCTGATTACACGTGTTCTTTTTCAAACCTGAGCTGTGACGATCTAGATTGCCCTCTGGCACAATATCTCCTAAAACTCTTCCTCCCCAAAAGAACCAATTAGAGTCATTCAGCTTGAAAAAGTTTTGACCATTATCTCACTAGCAGATTTTAAATGATTCCATGTATAAATAAGTAGGCACATATATTTCTACCTTCCTTTATGAAGAAAGAATTTCTGTGGAGTTATGTGCAGTGAGCACCCAGAAAATATTCCAGTAAAATACAGTCATCCCCACCACCACCACCACCACCACCCCAGGAAAAGCCTGGGCCCAGTAGCATAGAAGCTAGCTCTCTGTAAGGACAGAGCATGGCAGCCTCGATGAAGATGCTTCATGCCACTGAGGAAGCAGGGCAGTGGGAGGCTGGAATATCTCTCTAATTCCAAGGTACCGTCCTGCTGCTGAGAGAGGCACTAGCTAGAGAAAAGTGAAAGGACAATGAAGAGAAATCAAAAATAGGAACCTGTGCTTTTTATATTACATTCTCTGTGTTAAGGTTTCACACCCTCAGAAAAGCTGTGCTTCAAACATGGGCCAAATAGCAGCAAAAGGAGTCTCAGCCTCTAGTGTCACAACCCAGGAAAGAATTAGGACAGTCGTAGCCACAGAATACCCAGCATCCTCCCGAGGATGGGTTCCTAAGGGCTAGAGGGATGAGGCTCATCTGAGCTACACTTCCCGCCGCCGCCTCATTGCAGTCAGATAGAGAGGGAGGTGGTTAAGGGAAGTTCTGGTTTGGGTTTGGGTTTCGGTTTTCCTGGAGCAGCATGCAGGCAACTGATTTTTATTCCCCACCTTCCTGCTCCCCAAATGTCTGCTGCTGACCCTTAATTGCGCTCTGGAACACTTTCTCCTATCACATCAGAGAACAAAAGGCAGAAACCAGTCCTCCTCAACAAGTTGAAAACCAAACACACGCTTGGGACTTGTAGATTATCTGGACCCATATTAGACAAACTATCTCTAATATCGAACTTCTAACAGATGAAGTACTTTCTATTCACATATGCCTTTGTTGGCAAAGGGGAGTTGTCTAGTGTGGCTTCCTGGGGTGGGAAGTATTGTTTTGCTGACTGCGGCAGCTGAGAACACAACTTGCTCCTGGCCAGAGTCCATTCCTGTTGCATGTCCTCAACCGACCAGTCTGCTTTTGCCTCCCTGGTCTCAACTTGCCTAATGAGAGCGCTGCTCCACTTTAGAACACTAGCCTCCTCAGCCAGAAGAAGAAACTGGAGGTTGATGTTGCCAGGATGCAGAAAGAAGCCGAAGAGGCAGTGCAGAGGTGTCAAAATGCAGAAGAGAAGGCCAAGAAGGCAGCCACTGAGGTGAGTCCATTGACTGCTTGCTCACTCCTGTCTTCCAGAGTTGACCAGAGCAGTAGCCAAAGGGCAGAAGCAGATCTGCAGTCAAAAAGAATTCCATTGATTCTCCATATAGCCAGGAGGAGGTTAGCTGACCCCTCTGCCTCTCTGTTCCCATTTTGAAAAATTAGGCCAATTAGCTCCTCCCTTCCAACCTACTCAGACAATAAAAAGGAACAGTTGAATTGCTATAAGCGAAACCTTATGAAAGCAAGAAGTTTTGTTTTTTTTACAGTTAAGCCACTTTCCACTTGTGAATCAATACATCTAGAGTCTAGAAACAATTCTTCCTGTATATCCTTACAAATAGCTATTTTCCTAGCATCTGTAACGGTTTGATGATGATGATCTGGAAAGAAAGCTTATTTCACTTATTTCTTACAACCCATAACTATTGTTTGTGAGTAGCGCAATCAGGCTGGTAAAGAAGGATTTCAGGGCTGATATGCCTTCTTTATTTGCAAGTTTGAAATTGTTCATGGGGGGTGCTTTTCCTAAATGGCACTAAGCTCGGCATTGGCAGCCAGCCTTGTCTGGAGCTTTGTGGGAACTGAAGAAAGGCCACCGCTGGGACCCTCTGTGGGCAGATGCAGCACTTCTCTCAAAGGGCATAGCAAGCAGAAGGTAACACTCAGAATACAAATTAGCGGAGGGAGGTGGAGGGCCTTGCAGGTCCCAGGCCTGCTGAGCAGAGTGTGCATTTAACTGCAGCCTCCACTCATTCCGTCCCCATCAAGTGACCCCGTGTAGTCCATCAATACCCAACTCTGTGCAGCAGCCCTGACTCTGCTGTGTGGATGGAAGCTGATCCTCTTGATGAAAAGGGTATGGCAACTAGGGAGACAAGACATTTAATTAGATTTTATATCAGTCATTTTAAAATTCAAAGAGGGGAAGAGCTTGTGTCTAGATTTGCCTGAGTTATTTGGCAGTTGAGGAGCTAAACAAAACCTTCGCACCAAATCATGGACACCAGGTTGCTATAGAAGCCAGCCCTCTCTAAGAATAGAGAAGCGTGCCCATCACTCAGCCATTTGGTATCAAGGCAGAGACATTTCCGCTCCGTGATGGAAAAGAGGTGCGTGAAAGCTTAAAGATGTTTGATGGCCAAGGGAAAAATAATGTGGCTTAACATTTATGAAAATCCACATAGAGAGAAAGGAATAAAAAGAGTGTCTGCTTCAGCTTGGGAAATGTATGCAGTCACACATTATGAAGACTCTCTGCTTTACCATGCCTTTATAAGATTTCCTTGACACTTGAAAAATGAACTCACTACCTCTTCCCCCACCTTCCAGTTCTCTAATAGTTCAGCTCTGAGTCCCAGGCCTACCTAGCAGAACCCAGAGTTGCCTCCATAATTCATTCTTTGCCCTCACCATCTGCACAGACGTCTCACACTTAAATTATACAGATGGTTGGTAACCTGATAGACAGAGAAGCTTTGGCTGGGAGGACACTGTTCTTACATTAAATGCGCTGAGAGATTCATGAACCAGTTCTTAATAATTTTGTCGAGACATCAAGCCCTTGTACACATAGCTAAAGCCAAAAGCAGGCTTCACAAACAAGAATTAACCTTCCTTGTGCCAGATTATTGGCAATGAGAGCATCTGTAGCTGCCAAATTCCTGGAGCCTAAACTTGTTTGCTGTTGTGAATCACAGAATTAGAAAAGTGAGATGTGAAAGATTTTCATAGGCACCCTTCCCTACTTTCCTGGTGCGTGATGTTAATAGGACATGTCCCGAGCTTTGGTGTGTTCAAAGCTATTGCTTCAGTTGGTCATCGTTGTTCTTTCAATACAGGTGTTGTGCGTTGTTCATGCAGTACTTCCTCTCTGGCCTGTTTCTGCTCCCCCTCACCCCAGTCTCCCTGGCAGCAGATGTCATCGTGATTGCCATATCATTAACAAACTCCAGGGTGGCGCATGTTAGGGACAGAAAAGTGGAGGAGATTAATACACGGAGGAGGGCATGCCATCTAGTCAGATCACGACTGGAAGGTTGTGGGTGGAAATCTGAAGGTCAGCTGGCTGCCAGCTTAGCTCAGCTCCTTTCTCTCTGCTTTAGGCAGCAAACGTAGCCGAAGAACTAAAGAAGGAGCAAGACACCAGTGCCCACCTGGAGAGGATGAGAAGGAATATGGAGCAGACAATTAAAGACTTACAAAAGAGGCTGGATGAAGCTGAACAGAATGCAGTGATGGGGAATAGAAAGCAGATCCAGAAGCTAGAATCGAGGGTAAGCGTTTGCATGGGGAATCGTGGAGTCATGACAGCTCCCAATCCATGGCCGTCTTGTCCTGGAATATCACTCCAAATGTTCCCTCTCTCACCACTTCTGCATTTAGCACGTCTAGATCATCAAGTGTCAGATCTCAGTCTACTCATTCATTCTTGCTTGACCTTGGGCCCTCAGCCAAGTCTCTTCCTGAACTGGATTAAGTGGGCCTTCCCTCTTGCTGTTAGGTGAGAGGGCATCTCTCCCGTTCAGCCACACTGACTTGGGCTCCCTGCAGTCAGGGTTCCCTGCCATTTCCAGGGACGCCCACACAGTCTTACTTCTGTGCCTTTGTTCCTGTTATTTCCTCTGCAGAGTAGTCCCCCCCCCCCCCGCTTTTTTTTTTCTGCCAGAAAAAGTGGAAGGGAAGCAACTAAATCAAGGATCAAGAAATGATTAGTGAAGATATAAGAAGGGCTGATAGAAATGACTTAGCACCTGCCTTCAGGGAACTTAGCAACAACTAGAAAGCTCTCTCTTGAAAACACAATTTTTTAAAGTATTGAACCAATTTCAATGACTATGGACAAGCTGGGTGACAAATATTAGAAGGATAGGAAGAATATTTGACAGGGACTTGATGATTCAGAAGGGCCCTGAAAAATACTATATTGCTTTTGCGCATTTATGGCCTAGCCCGTGCCATAGAATCCCAGTGCACATCCATGCTACATCCAGGTAAAGATGCTGATTAAAAAGGAATGAGGAGGAGCTCTGTAGTAGTTTCTGAAGATCTCATCCAGTGGTACAAGGGTGATAAAAGGCACAGGCAATAGGTAGAGTCTACAAGGTCTTGTGCAAGGGTGAAGGAAATATAGAAGAGAAGTACACATACACATGTGCTTGTATTTTCAAAAGGAAGGCGTGACAGGATAAGACAAAGACTAATAAAAATAGCTCCCCGTAGGAAGAGAACACATAGATGAAAAGGAGATCTTCTGAACCTCATTCCATTGTTTTGATTGTTGTAAAATCATATAAAACATTTACAAGCTTCATAATTCAAAAAAACAAGTTTAAGTCTAAGAGTAAAACAAATCAATCCCTAAAATGTTAACACAAATGGAAACAAAGGAAGCTAACTGGGTATCAGGTTGGGGAGGGGGGGCATAAAACACAGAAGAATGATTCCCAGTGACTTTTAAACATGGTGTTTTGTACATCCCTCATGGAATACATCTAAAGACCAAAGAAAAAAATTAGCACATAAAGCAAACTGTGCTCCTAGCTTCAAATAACAATACCTTCTCATCACCACTCTCAGTAAGACTAATACAATCCTTTAACCAACAACTATTTAACCTTTATTGCATAAGAACCAAGATTTAGTATGAGAAAATATGGGTATAAAATTAACTTAAAATGTGCCTTAAAAAAAACATAAGAATGATACTGGTATTTTCGATTCAAATTTAAGACTGCAGGGTTTAATTTGGTTTCCAGTTGCTGTCTGTCCACCATTAAGGCCTGGACCCTGTGCTGACTCAGTCGCAGTGAGCTCGGGATACGGGCTGGTACTAAGGAATTATGATTAATTTTCTTGAAAACATAATCATAATACTATTCTGTTAGGATCACCTGACGAAATATTTACAGGTGAAATTATATGATATCTAGGATTTGATGTAATAGTGATTTTCCCAGAGAGGTTTTTAATCAACTCAAAACCACACACACTTGAGAAGACCTGACCAGGGGCCTCGTCGTCTTAGTCTCAACCAACAGAACCGTGTGTTAGGTTCCTCGACGATAGGGGCTTCGAAGGCTTTTCTAATGACCTTCATCTACAAGCACCTGCACACCTGCTGACTTGCCCTCCCTGAGGAAGAGCAAGGAGGGGGGCAGTCAGCGATGGGGTCACGCACAGTGCGGGCAAGTTCATGCCTCAGGGCATTGGACTTTGCACTTATTTTTTTTTTTTTAAGATTTTATGCTTTTAAAAGGATTGATTGATTGATTGATGAATGACACACAGCACGCGAGCAGAGACACGGGCAGAGGGAGAAGTAGGCCCCATGCAGGGAGCCTTACGTGGGACTCGATCTGGGGCCCCAGGATCACGTCCTGGGCCGAAGGCAGAGGCTAAACCACTGAGCCACCCGGGGATCCCCCGGACTTCGCACTTTTGGAAGGCTCGTCAGGAAGGCTCTGTTGAGAGGGTGGCGCTCGTGTCAAGCAGGCAGGAAGAGAGCAGGGACTTCTAGGGCAAGACGAGAAGCAGCCAGCACCCTTCCTCCACCAACTCTCTCCCCCCCCTTCTGTGTTTTTTTTTTTCCTCCAAATCACTTCCCACCATGGAACATTCTTTTGCTGGGTGTATCCCCCCTCGTTAAAAGGCGTGCTGGTCCAGGGGAGAGATGTTTGCTCCGCCGCTGCGGTGTCCCCAGCCTCGGGGCAGGCCTGAGACCTGCGCGCACCCTGCAGGCCGGCCTGCGCGCTGCAGCGCCCCCCGCTGGCGGCTGGGCTCCCCGGGCTCGAGTCGGGGGCGGGGGGGCGGCGGGGGGCGGCGGCTGCGGGCGGGGAGCTCAGGCCCGGGCCTCGACCTGCGCGCCGCGGCTGCTTCTCTGGCCACGTGCCTGCGCGTAGCTCGGGAGCTGCAGGCAGGCAGCCGGGCCGCGGGGCCTCGATGGGCCCGACTGCCCGCACCGCACGGCTCCCGCCACTCCCTTCGCGCGTTCCCCGCCGGCTGCCCCGCGTCACCCCGCCGGGAGGAGGGCGGCCCGAGGTCACGGCCTGTCCTGCAGGTGCGCGAGCTGGAAGGCGAGCTGGAGGACGAGGCGCGCCGCGCCGCCGAGGCCCGCAGCGGAGCGCGCAGGCTGGAGCGCTGCGTCAGGGAGCTGAGCCGCCAGGTACGCCCCGGGCCCGCGGGCCCTGCCCTCCGCCCGCGCCCCCTCCTCCGCGGCCCGCCCGGCTCCCCGCGGCCGCCCGAGCCCCGGGCTGCGATCACAAGCTCTCGTCCTTCCGCGCACGAACGGCTACGGGACACAGGGCCGCGGCACCCGACAGCCCCGCTCCCCGTTTCTTTATTCGATTTAAGATGTTATTTATTCATGAGACATGGAGAGGCAGAGACCCAGGCAGAGGGAGGAGCAGGCCCCACGCAGGGAGCCCAATGCGGGACTCGATCCCGGGTCCGCAGGATCACGGCCTGGCCTGCAGGCAGGCGCTCAACCGCTCAGCCCCCCCGGGATCCCCCCACTCCTCGTTTATGGCTGCACAGACCCCCCCCGCCCCGAGGGCTCCCTTTGGTGCCGGGTGCTGGGAACAGAGCACCTGCTCGTGGGTGGGGGGCGGGGCGCTCGGGAGCTCGCGGCGCCTCTTCCCCTGGACCAACGTGGCTCTCCAGCCGGTGACTGGAAAGAGGCGGGAAGACTTCTCGGCAGGACCGAAGGCGTCGCTGAAGCCGAGCGCCAAGCGCCACCCGTCACTTACACTGCTCTGCCCTGTCTTCCCTTCAAAAACCGAGGCGACCGCAGCGGAGGCGCCAGCGGAGGCGTCGTGGCACACGCCGCTCTGGGGCCCCACTCGCATCCTCCGCATCCTCTGGGGCCACACCAGGGGCGCCCCGCTCAGGTGAGGCCCCGCCCAGGTGAGGCCCGCCCAGGTGAGGCCTGCCCAGGTAAGGCCCGCCCAGGTGAGCCCCCCCCCCCCGCCCCCCGTGCAGCCCCGCCCAGGTGAGGCCCCGCCCAGGTGAGGCCCGCCCAGGTGAGGCCCGCCCAAGTAAGGCCCACCCAGGTGCAGCCCCACCCAGGTGAGGCCCACCCAGGTGCGCCCTACCCAGGTGCGGCCGGGGACACCCAGGGTCACCTTCTAGCCCCCCCTGCGGCGCCGTGCAGCTCACGTAGGCCCAGAAAAGCCACATGCGTCCGGGCGGCCGCCTGCACGGGGCTCGGGGGCCCTAGTCCTGCCGGCGCTCCCCGCGGGGCCGTGGCCGTGGCCCCGGCCTTCCTCCCCGGCGGCGGGGCGTGGTGGCGCCGAGGAGGCGGAGCCCCTCAGCAGTGAGTCGAGCTGCTCCTGCGGCTTCTCACCGAGCGGGGCGCCTTCCTGACCCCCTGCTCCACCCCCACCTGCGCGGGGCGCCCCCTGGCGGCGAGGGAGCCTGAGGGCCGCGTCCTCCGTCCTCCCGAGGGAGGGGGAGCAGCCACCTGTGCGGGGGGGGGGGGGGGGGTGCAACGCCGCTTGCTAATGACGTCTGGGTTTTTCTTCTCCTTTCCCTGCGGATTATTCATACGCTTCCTTAGTCCCCTGAAGGCGGGGTCGTCTGGAACAGACCAGGGCCTTCCTGCTCTGCTGGGGTCTGGCTTTGCCCTTCCCAGCAGCACCCCACTGGTCCCTGGCGCGCCCAAGGACGGATGGTTCTTCGTCTCTTCCAAGTGTCTGTGCGGGGCTTAGGGTGTATCGACTCACTCTGCCGTGATTTTCGGCCCTTAAGTCGGAAACACCTGTTGAGCGCCTGGTTCGTGCAAGCTCTTAAGCGAGGCGCTGTCACTTTAAGGAGACCTTAGAGAGCCCCCCCGCATTCCTTGATCTCGGTACTTGGTTTTGGAATATTCAAGAGAGATGCTGACTCAATCCAATCTGTTCTCCTTTAACATCAAAATAACCACCAGGACTATGAGGCGGGGTGTTTCATGATAGCACGTCGTTGGTGCCAATTGGAAATGTCATTTTGCAAGGGGCCTCAATATGCTTTTCATTTCCTAGGAAAAATCCTCTGGGAATATCCTCCTACACTGGAAAGGGACACGAGTGTGACCCGGACCACAGTCGTTCTATGGCCAGTCCCCGTGGGGCATTATCTTCCTTGGATGTCCCTCCAGCTTGTGGAAACTCCTCCAGTTCTCTCTCTCTAGTACCCAGAATAATGTGCTATGAAGGAGGACATAAGCCACTGCCAGGTGGCTCAGTGGTTGAGCATCTGCCTTTGGCTCGGGTCATGATCCTGGGGTCCTGGGATCGAGTCCCACATCAGGCTCCTTGCAGGGGAGCCTGCTTCTCCATCTGCTTATGTCTCTGCCTCTCTCTGTGTGTCTCTCATGAATAAATAAACAAAATCTAAAAAAACAAAAAAAACAAAAAAAAAACAGGACACAAGACCAGGAACTTACAACCGTTATAGAAGGTACAGTTTTCCTGCATTCCCCATCCACCTGCTCCACTTTATCTTCGACTGCTTTCTATATTCAAGGATCTATGTATAGATGCTATTTAATCTGTACTAACCTAATGACAGATATAGTATCTTCATTTTTAGAGAGAAGGAAACAAAATGTGACTTGGGGTAGCTTCTCCGGGAACCAGAGGCCAGGATGGAGTTCTAGAAGTACAGGAGATTTATTGGACCCAACACCTGGAAAGACAAAGGAGATTGGGGGGGGGGGGCTGGCAGCATCAGGCAGGGAAAGCTGTTGGACCACAGTATGAGTGTGACACCCGCTAAAGGAAAGGGTGAAGGGAGGGGGATGGACTAGGGGTTTGAGATTCGCAGCTCACCTCCGAGCACTTTCCAGCAGCAGGATTGCCTGGAAAGGAGCCCGGGTTAGGCGGGAAGGGCCAGATCCTCGTAGCCGCCACAGCTGGCCGAGCGGTGACCTGGCTGTAAATGCCACAGCAGATCCCAAAAGTGCTGCTGCCGGAGGTTTGCAGGTAGGTGCCCTCCTCACAGCTGAAGGGCAAGTTCTAGAAGGGAAATCTGAGCCTCGCCCAACCATGGCTTCCACAGGCCCCAGATGGGAGCCTAAGCTTTTGCCTTAAGTGGGAGGAACATCATGAACATTAGCAGCCGCTTCTAGCCTCCTTCGGTTTTCTTTTTTGTGGCCCTTTACCAGCACAGTGAATTTTCTTGCCTCCCTAAATTGTTTTTTTTTTAGTAAATATTTTTTATTATTTATTTATTTATTTATTTATTTATTTATTTATTTATTTATTTATTTATTTATGAGAGAGAGAGAGAGAGAGAGAGAGAGGGGGCAGAGACAGAGACACAGGCAGAGGGAGATGCAGGCTCCATGCACCGGGAGCCCGATGTGGGATTTGGTCCCGGGTCTCCAGGATCGCGCCCTGGGCCAAAGGCAGGCGCTAAATCACTGCACCACCCAGGGACCCCCCCTAAATTGGTTTTAAGCAATTAAACCGCTGTTGGTTTTAGAACTTCCTATATACACACAATTCTATGACCCTTCAAATTTCTTAAACCTGGGAGGGAGAGGGATAGGCAGATGAAAGCAGAGTAGATTTTATTGAAAAAGTAGCATTTCTTGGTCTCTGCCTTAGCTTAAAATTAGTAATTAATTTTCCACTGTCAGATTGTACATTAAGGTGGGGTGGGGGAGCATCTAGGCAATAGAAATGGCTTGGTTAACGCTTTATTTCTTCACTTATGTATTTATAGATTTTTCTTTCTTATGTGTTTATATATTTATATTGAGATAAAATTGGCACATAACATTGCCTTGGTGTTGGGTGTGCAACATAGTAATTTGATGTTTGTTCAATCATTGTGAAATGATTATCATAAGTTTTGTTAACATCCATCACCACACATAATTACAAAATTTTATTTTTCTTGAGATTAGAACTCTTAAGATTTACTCTCTTAGCAGCTTTCAAATATACAAGCATCTGCCTTCAGCTCATGGGGTGATCCCGGGGTCCTGGGATTGAGTGTTTCTCCCTCTACCTATGTCTCTGCTTCTCTCTGTCTCTCATGAATAAATAAATAAAATCTCAAGAAAAAAAAATGCTGCAATAAACATAGGGGTGCATGTATCTTTATGAATTAGTGTTTTCATACTCTGGATAAATACTCAGTAGTGGAGTTCCTAGATCATACAGTAAGTATTTTTTGAGGAACCTCCCTGCTGTTTTCCACAGTGGCCGCACCAGTTTGCATTCCCACTAACAGTGCATGAGGACTCCTTTCCCTCCGCATTTTTGCCAGCACTTGTTCCTTTTTTTTTTATTATTTTATTTTAGATGTTCTCATAGGTGTGAGGTAATATCATATACTTGTTTTGATTTGCATTTCCCTGATAGTGATGTTGAGCATCTTTGCATGTTTCTGTTTCTCTGTTCCTCTGATTTTTGAAATCATATTTTTGTTTGTTCTGTTTTGCTATTCAGTTGTAGGAGTTCTTTATGTATGTTAGATATTAATTCGTTATCAAATATAGGACTTAAAAATATTTCCTTCTATTTCACGGGTTGCATTTTCATTTTTTTATTGTTTCTTTGCTGAGTAGATTTTTAGTTTGCCCTAAACTACAAACTACAAACTTAGTTTGTAGTCCCACTTATATATTTTTGCTTCTGTTGCCTTCGTTTTTGCTGTCAAATTCAAATTTCATAGCCAAGACCAATTTCAAAGAGCTAACCCCCTGTTTTCTTCTAGGAGCTTTATGGTTTCGGGATTTCACATCTTACATTTAAGTCTTTAAGCCATTTTGAGATAACTTTGTGTATGGCATAAGAAAGTGGTTTAGTTTCATTCTTTTGCCTGTGGCTGTCCAATTTTCCTAATACCATTTATTAAAGAAACTCTCCTTGTATATTCTTAGCTCCTTTGTCATAAATTAATTGACCATATATATGTGGATTTATTTCTGGGCAGTTGGTTTCACTGATCTATGTGTCTGTTTTTATGTCAATGTCATACTATTTTGATTACTATAGCTTTATAATACAGTTTGAAATCAGGAAGCATGATGCACTGAGTTTTCTTCTTTCTCAATTTTTTTTGGCTATTTTGGGTGTCTTGTGATTCCATACAAGTTTTAAAACTGTTCTGTGTCTAAAAGATGCGATTGAAATTATGATAGGGATTTCCCTGAAACTGTAAAACACCGTGTGT